GCTGGAGTGTCAGACTCTTACTGACTAAAAACCACCTCGTGCCTACTCCTGCACTTCGAGCCGGAGCCCCGGTAACCATTTACGTTCTCCGCGGCATGATGTGGCAGACATGAGAATTTCTTAGTGTAGACCAAACATTTAAAAAAATAGTACATATTTGATCACCCTGGCTTGCCCTTTGCATCAAAACAAACCTATTACATATTATAATATCATTAGTTTTCTTCCTACGGATGTAAGTACCCGGTCTATAAAACAGTCGCAAGAGATCAGAGATCACTAGTGTTCAGTCCGTAATTTACTCTAATTGATTCACAGTAACTGTATGCAAATGTAAGACATAATGTAATTATTAATAGGTTAGGTAGTAGGCTAGTAGGTATATTATAACTTCATAGATTTTTTTTTCACTCTAGGATTTTGTCCTGTGTCGTGGGTGCGTTTACAAACATACAAGTTCACATACACTTGACACCCAGACGCGGAACAACAATCTGTGGATCACACAAACAATTGTTCCGTGCGGGAATCGAACCCGCGACACGTTGCGCGGCAGTCAGTAGCCCAACCACCGCTCCAACCGTGCAATCGATGTTTGTATGTTAAGTATATAAGCTGCCATTTTTGCCATTAAGTTAGGTACTGATGAGAATTGGGCATTTTGAAAGAATCGTTCTTCTCCATAGGAATCTACCTACATTTTGTAACGACCAAATTGGATCACTAGAATTGACTGAAACAGATACTTTAATCTTTAATTATTTGACTTAGAAAAAATCCTTATATCACTTTATAAGTCACTTTGAAAAAGTTCAAATATTCTAAGTCAAAACGCTGACACATTCTCCGCCTCCGCCGAACTTGGTTATTAAAATTTTTAAGCTCAACATTTTAACTATAAAGTTACTAGCGACCCGCCCCGGCTTCGCACGGGTGCAATATGCATGTATTATACATATAAACTTTCCTTAAGAATCACTCTAGATATCAATTTAAAAAAAATCGCATCAAAATCCGTTGCGTAGTTTTAAAAATCTGAGCATACATAGGGACAGACAAACGTGATTATCTATAATTTACGATACAAATAAAATCAGTTAATCAATTAATTTATCGAAGTAATTCTTTGGCGGGAGGGAGTGTCAGACTCTTACTGACTAAAAACCACCCCGTTCCTTTTCCTGCACGACGAGCCGGAGCCCCGGTAACCCGTTAGGTAATACGATCTGAACAACGAGTGTATTACTTAAATATTACAACTTTCTATTGGCGCCCTAACGTGGGACCATAATCAAAACCGATTTTTTTTTAAAGGATTTTCCATTCCACCGATGAAACTCTAAATATCTACCCAAGGCATATGAGTAACAACTACAACTAATTATGAACGCAGCGTTGTAATTAAATCATAAAATTTTAATTGCCTACATTAGATATGAGTTATAAAACATATTAATTGTATATCTCTGACGCCATATATATGTATGTACTAGTATATGTATATGTATATGTATATCTATCTACATAAATAATAAATATGATTAATAGTAAAACAGATTGAGAATAATGTGTGTGTAATAATATAGTTTCTCTCTGAAGTGTTTTTGTAGGATCTTGTTTTTGCGTTTTTTATTTGTTCTGAAATTTGATTTTATCTAATTCAGCTAGGTACATTTCATATTCTTTAGCCATTATAATTATGAGTGCCGACTTTTTCAATTACGTATTTTAACTTTCATATTAAAGCCTATTTTGAAACACTCATTTTATTTGAATTTGACTTCTGACTAAGACTTTTTTTAAGGGAGGATCATCAAATGACTGCTCCCGCCTGAGTGAGGCGGGAAGGAGTATCAGACTCTTACTGACTAAAAACCACCCCGTTCCTTCTCCTGCACGTCGAGCCGGAGCCCCGGTAACCCGTTAGGTTCTCCGCGACTCTGACTAAGACTAGAAACAGAAATTAACACGTTCCATTATCTAATAAAAACTGCAAACTACAATTTAAATAACATGTCACTAGCATTCTTTTATGTTTGCTTCTAAATGGTAATTATTTTACGACCGTCGGCGTACAAAACATTCAAGACCGCAAGCTTATCTAAATGGCCCAAAACAATAACAAAATATGACAAAAAAAAATGACAGAAATCGATTCTGAACACTCAACAAAGAACAGCCGTTGAAATTAACTAAACTAACGGAGAATAACGGCATTTTTAACTAAGTTAGTTCAACGGTAAACTTGAAATAAGTAAAGAAGCTTAAATGGATAATACGACTTCAACAAGACAATAGGAATAAACAAACTTATTAAAACCTCTTTTGTTTGTCAAACAATTGCGGATCGAAAAAAAAACGCTCTATGGTCGCCCCCAATGTAGTTCTGTGGTAATTCTATTTATAAATTCCATTTCTCCTTTCAAACTGCCTGTCAATTATTGGTTTTTATTCAGAAATGTATCATTATAGAAAGAGGTAAATGTTGTTATCTTTATCTTAACTGTCTAACCTTCAAATTGAAGATCACGACTACTATTGTGATAAAAAATAAAAACTGACATATTTTTAGTCAACTAACTGCTAATTAAATTCCGATTTAAGTATGTTACTGTCTATTAATATAACAAACAATTCTTGAATTTGAAAAAAAGTGTTAATGACTCAACTAAATAAAAAAAAACTCGCGTTAAACCACAAAACAAAGACATTAAAGTTTTATTTTCGCGCCAAACGGATTAATGTGTAACTTTCTTTTTACAGGCAGAGACAACAATCTCAACGTACTCAGATAACGGGCTTTTTATCATAATGGCTGCGTGTTCCGATAAGCTACTACTTTTTTTTTTGAACATTTTAATTCTGTCAACGACGTATCGTTACACGCGACGCGATGACCCGGGCAAATCGATAAACATTTTTTGTGAAAAAAAAAAACTTTTTACAGCGAGATCGTGTCCTTTTTGTGGAAAAATAAAAGTGTGTGGTACACATACACAAACATCTCATGATATCTGAGTAACAAGCTGTTATAACTTGATGATTTATTGATCACGAAAGCGCATTAGTAATGATAGGTTGCTACCCCATCGCATACATCCAATGGAACCTACAATTGAGCCTTACTACAGGCTGTATATTCAAAAACAAACGTACATTCTCATACCCACGTCCAATCGAGTATAATGACCCTATTTATTCATAATTAGTCGAATAAATACACCAAGTAATAAGATATTTGTAAGCAGGAAATGAAAATCACTTGAATGATTTAATGCGTAGGTATGCTATACTTTACAGTCTTAGGCAATTTCACTCAGAAGTTATTAATTGTGTATGTATAGATAGATACTTTAGCTTCCGTTAACTAAGTGTCTAATAGGCGTTTTATTAATTATTATTGACGCAACTGATATTTATTTATTATTTTCATTTGAAACCTGATATGATATTGATTAAAACGGCGCGGTGCATGCTTATGTTAAAAAAAATAAACATTAATACCTTGTTCAAATTAGCAGTAATAAAAAAAACATTGGCAGAAATTCTCGACGATATCACGTAATAAAAATTAATAGAGTTATAGTTTTTGGCATATCTATCTATGGTTTTGATTCATCGTTTGCCGGCGGATATTGAAAACCATTTCTAAATTCGAAAAAAATGCTCCATAAAACAAAATTGATAGTAACAAAATTAATTATGAAGATTTAGTATCGGTGTTGATTTGTTATTTTGAAAAAAGAAAAAAAACTATTAAAACAAAAAAAAAACAAGAACAAGTACAAGAAATTAAAAAATGCCCAATGAGCCCAATAACCCTGATCAAGAAACAAAAACAATAAATAAAAAACAACGGCATTCGTTACGAATTCCTAAAATCATTGAAATCTACGCACGAAATTCTACATTGACATTTTCCTGGCCGCTGTTAAGCCAGAGGAAAGTCAGGTAAGCCCTTCTTACATCAGAATTTTTTGGCATAACACCAAAAACTTTAACCAACAATGGCCTAACAGTAATTTTAATTGCTTATAAAGTAAAACTCTACGTCATTAATGCATTTAGCATTAGATCACACAGTGGTTCAAATTAAAAAAAAGAAAAACAAATAACCTATGTTTATGTTCGAAATTCGAAATTGACGCAAAAAACATCGTTCTAAGTTCGGACACGATCCGTCTAAATGAAAGTTTTTTTTAACTAAGTATTATAAAGATGTTTTTCCAACGACATGACACGGCTTTAAGCAACAAAAAATAATAAAAATCTTTTTCTCATGAGATGAGGATCATAAATTACTGCATAATTGGCTAAATATTTGTGGGAATATGTGTTTTTTTTTATTATAACTTTAATAAGTTTTTACCGTAAGCGTTCAATATGAGATGTTGAGGACATCAATCAAGTGATTACCTACACTTTCAACGGAGTGATTAGCATTACATTTGTAATACGGGTGTTACAACTTTATTTGTCTCAATTTCTTTTTATAGAATCCTTTAAAAAATCATTACTCATTTTCAAAAAAAAAGCATTGCAATTCAAAAAACTAAGTGTTTCACTTTTTTGCTTGGTCTGATAAAAGTAGTTTTAAAAGAGAAATAGAAGATGGCACTACATCACACCGAAAACAACTTTGTAGTGAAAAGAAAAAATAAACATTTAAATTACGTGGACAGAAAAATTGACACGGATCTAATTTAGATCCGCAAAAGGACGGAACGGAACCGCAATAATAGGATAAAAACAATTTACATTGACCATGAAACTACTTAGATGCAATATTTTGTAAAGTTTTATGCAAATAAATATCCGCTAATATCTCCAACAATATCCAGTTAAATATTGGTCTCTTGGTTACCACAGAAGAACCATAACAGATTTTCCAAAAACAGAAATATTTTTTGACTTCTACGGGACTAAATAAGGCTCTTAAAATTTATCACAATTATTAATGAAATTGGATACTTTGACATAAATAAAAATTTAAGACTTACCTCCAGGAAATCTGTGGGGGAATATCCTGCCGTGCCTGTTGATGAGCCAGGGGTACAGGGTGTAGGACTCCCGGGGGACAGGTGGTGCAGGGTGCGGGGGCGGATGAGGTGGCAGTGGTCCTCCGAAGCCCTGCTGCTGGTGCGCCAGAGCCGCGGCAAGAGCAGCTCCTTGGAAGTGCGCCAGAAACTGGTGGTGGTGACTTTGAGCGTCCAAGTAAGGTAGCCTCTTCAACTCAGGAGAAGGAAACACCGCAGGCAACGCACTCGGCCTCAATAAAGGTCTTGGCGAAGGACTCCTCGGAGACGCAACCGGCGAAGGAGAGCCAGGACTCGCCAGCGGCGGCGAGGCCTGCTTCGGCCGCTCCGAACCACCAACTATACTGTCTATACTAAATCCTATCTTCGGCTTCGATGGCACCGCCACCACAGGGGTCGGTGCGAGAGGCATCATGCTTTTACACACAACGGGTCCGTCACAAAAAAAATAATACACCAAATCAGAAGCACATGTCACACAGAACACAATCCATCGTGACGCGAGCGCGCGATACGAACGCCAAGGCGGCGCGCGGCCGAATGAGCCCTCCGCACTCGTGAGACGCCCGTCGACACGGAAAAAAAATAACGAACATGGACTCCTCACCTCCTATTGGACGGTATTTACCGAGGGGTGGCGACTGATCTCTGAACTGAACTCTTTATTTGAATGGCTGCTGCGCGATTGGTCAGCAGGCATGTAGAGGTGTTATTTGAATTTGGAACGCTTTCCCAGTGGGCGGTTTGAGTTAAGAGCTTGTGATTTAGCCGGCCGTATGGCGTATTACATCAGATTTGTGGAGCGGAACGCGTCGAGTGGTGCTTTCGAATTTAGTTGGTTATGATTCAATTAAGGCGTCGATTGGGTGGGTAATCGCGGTCGACTTACTCGTTTTGGGCTAGTCGGCTCACGCGGCGCTCGCCCGCTCCGCTCGCCTCCGCACGGTGTAATACTTTTTAATTAAGTCCGATGCTTTATTAGCTTAATGTCGCGAGATAAACGTGGATTTTTCAACGATTCCCGCCAATAATTGATTCTTACAAAATGGCGGACGTTTATAGTCGCGTTCGGTTTAATTATTTTTATCGATAATAAAATAATTTGTTGCTGCTGCCGTACGATTGTTTTCTTATGTAGTTGAATTAAATTTTAATGAAACCCGATAAAGTTTGAATTTCACGGATATTTTCCACCATTACAAACTAAACAGTGTTTGGTAAATAGTTGATTTTTTAATTAAAATTGTTATGTTTTATAGTCTGTGGTGCGCTGTGATTGATTTTTGTTTATAAAATACAGATTGGTTACTTTATGATATTGTACCTATTCATTATGAAACATTGAAGTAGGTACATTTATTTGATTAGGACTTTTGGTTGGATTTATTTTAAACAATTTCATAATAACTAAACGTGTAGGTAGAGAAATTGTAAGTACAGCCCAGCTGCGTAGATATCATTTTATAATGTAGGTAAGTACGCTACACAGTAACTAATGATAGACCTTAATTAGCCAAAAAATAAATAACACATACCTGCTTAGATAGGTATCTACTTAAATTAACCCAAGCAACATCTAGGTTTAAACAAAAGCACTTAAAATATATTTCCGTTTAATTTTGTCCAACTGAATGTTCAAATCTTTTTGATATAGGCACCTAGGTATTTATCCGTAACAAAAAACATCCAATTAACAACCCGAGGTATGTTGTCCATTTTATTTTTATGTCTAACAACAATCTAACGATGTTCTAGATAAATGTAGGTACCTATTACTTGTCTCGAATGACGTTCCTTTACCTAAAGAATAATAATTATAAACCTCCAATAGGCGCATTATTGATTTAATCCGTGACTTAGGACACAATTTTGTCTTCGCAATTTTAATATATTCAATTTAAAAAAATAAACTAAATAATAAAAGAAAAATTTTCAAAAATTGCTACTTACTCGCGACCACTGTGCACTGAGCAATTTTTTCGGCGGAATTCACCAATATGACTTTTCTTTTACGTTCTGAAGTTTAAACTGTCAAACACCGCGAGGACACCGGTGACCGCAACCTATTGTCCTTTAATTTTGTCTATGACGATATTAAATTATCCTTTTTTTATCATTTATCTTGAGTAGTAAACATTTTGTAGCTGGATGAGGAATGCTGACTTGTGAAAAATAAAAATTTACAAATATGACAACAGCCAAACTGTTATGATCATTTATATCTACCCGTAGTTTTCAGTTTTTATTAAGTATCAAAATTATTGAAAATTGTACCTTTTATATAGGTAAATAAGTAGATTATTTAACATAACGTTTTTATTGCATTATTGGACAGAAATGTTTGTAAGAAAACTGTAGGTATTCACAACATTTTAAGAATTTGATCTTTTATGACCACTGCATAGCAAAATACACGTGACAAAAAAGCCACTGTGTAGTGAACGAGGAAGGTATCATCTCCCTACCTTTCGTTACCAGGGTCGGCAGCAATGTCTAACCTATGACCTGGATCATCTACAATCATCCGTTAGACATAATCAGCGATAGACAGGGACGCAATCAGACTTGCATGGGGTCCTGTACTTACACTTAAGTAGTAGATACCTATTGTAGAACCTAACATGTAACCGGGGCTCCGGCTCGACGTGCAGGAGAAGGAACGGGGTGGTTTTTAGTCAGCAAGAATCTGACACTCCCTCCCGTCTCACCCAGGCGGGAGCAGTCACTCGATGATTTTCCCCCCTTAAAAAAAACCCCTTTGTTTTGTTTTTTCAATTCTTTTTATTTCTAATCCATAGATATCTAAATTAAATCTATTACATAGGTTTTATTAGATACAAAGTTTTGTATCTCAAAATAAAAGGTGTAAATATTTATCTAAAATCCTAAGCATCAACTTACTTTTGCCTTACCTATTCACGGAAACATGAGAGAATACTTAGCTGAGAATTTGTCTGTGTTACCTAAATTGTTGATACCTAATAATTACATTAATAAAGTTGTAAGTTATAATAATTTGTTTTAAGTTTTAATATCACAACAAAATGGCACATTTGCCTTTATCAAAGACACTATTTTTTCTGACACGCAGGTCCCAGCCAACAAATATCTAACATGGGTCCCATACTCCATTTAAATACGGCCCTGGCGTTGATAACTACAATCATCCCTATTACACCACTCACTTTCTATAATTGAAAATTTCCTGCCAACTTTTCTTTTCTCACATTTCATTCGACAAATTATATGAAGGCAAATTACATAATTATAGTTAGGTTAGTTGTGTGCTTTGTTGGCGTCAAATGCGACGGCTGAACTAGAAGTCTCAATTTTAGGAATTCTCAAACACTCTATCCGTGGTTAGGCATACATTTTGGAGTTGTTTTTCCATTGGGTCACACAAAAAGGGACCCTTCTTTTTTGAGGAAGAATTATCATGCAATTACTTGTCCCACTTTGTGTGAGGCGAAAGAAAGTGTCAAACTCTTACTGTCTAAAAGCCACCCTGTTCCTACTTCTGCTTCTGCCGGTGCCCCAGTTAAGTTGTCCGCATTTTCGACACAAGTAATTCCTACAATGGGATTAATTAATATCATTGCTAGAGAAAAGTAGATGTTCATTAGTTATCTGTGTCTAGATAACCCTTCAGAAAACTTATCATGAATAGGTTCATGTTAATCTTTACCTGTTACTCACCTTACCTTACCTTACCTCACGATTCACAACCTTACAGGTCCTACTCAATAAGATAATCAAATCCTACAACAAACATTCCCATAACCTCAAAACAAATAATGGCGCGTAATTGTAGAACATTAGCGGCCATCTTGATTTCAGTTGCCGACATCAAGATAAAATCGATACGTTCATAACACCTCCAATTGTAAGTACAGCGTAGCGTTCAGTTATTCAAATGTGGTCACGACTCTGGCCGCTCCCTTGTGCCAAGGCGTGATAATACGATGATAGTATTACAGCTTCGATGTAATTGTGTTTAGATTGCATTGTTGGCCTAGTAGTTTAAAATTGTAACTGCTGATCGAGGAGTTTTAAGTTCTCCTGTTGGGTTATTCGGTCTATGGTCACACCGTTGTGATCAACTACCCCTAAACCATCTCTTAACTAAGAATTACTTAGCGCATCTAAAATAACCTTTATGTAAGTGTCGCTTATAGGTTGGTCAAATTGTTGTTAAGTGAACTAATATTAGTTTGGAGATTCCTTAAAATTTTAGAGAGATGCGTGAAAAAAAAGGCCATTTGTATCCTAAACTATTTTAAATTTTGTTACAAAGACATAAAATCCAAAAGTCTAGAACTAGTAACTGTAATAGATGATTATTGTTCCTCGCTTTACCCAAGTCCGGTCACGGTCTTGACCAGATTGAGATGAATTTTTTTTTTTTTTTTTTTTTTTTTTTTTTTTTTTTTTTTTAAACGTTGCCCCACACTAGGATTTTCTCCTGTGTCGTGGGTGCGTTTACAAACATACAAGTTCACATACACAATGACACCCAGACCCGGAACAACAATTTGCGGATCACACAAAGTGTTGTCCCGTGCGGGAATCGAACCCGCGACACGTTGCACGGCAGCCGGTTGCCCAGCCACCGCACCAACCGTGCAGTCAAAGTCGAATATCAGCACTTATTACATTTTACATAGAGCGATTGTCATCTTCCCTTTACAACCCGTCGCGGAGAACCTAACGGGTAACCGGGGCTCCGGCTCGACGTGCAGGAGAAGGAACGGGGTGGTTTTTAGTCAGTAAGAGTCTGACACTCCCTCCCGCCTCACCCAGGCGGGAGCAGTCATTCGATGATTTTCCCCCCTTAAAAAAAAAAAGGGTAGGTAAGTACCTAATGCCAAATATTTGATTAAACTCGTTGTCAAATTATAGAAACGTCTGACAAACTTTAACGATCGTTGTCACATATTATGGTTGTACGACAATCGGGACTGCCCAGATAGGTGTATCTATCGAATTTAAAACATTTACTTCGAAAAAAAAATTAAAATAGCTTTGGCTATGACTTTTCCAAAGTAAGAGTACGAACTCAAGATCACATGTTTGACAATCGCTACACCAAATTCGTGTAAAATTCAATTGCAGCTAAATAAAACCATTTTTATCGGATAAAAGAATAAAGAAAAGATTTTATTCCAAAAATATTTTATTGAAGAACATAAAACAAACAATATGTTCGGCACAATCATATTTAAAATTGGTTTCAATCTACATATTGCCTCGATACAATAAGGAGATTATAGAACCTACCAATTGCGATAGGTGCCTAGCCATAGGAATCAATCTAACTTAACTTAAGCGCGCGCCTCAAAGAGGTATCAGACCACCACGGATGGAGCCCAATAGGGTTGATGTCGATACGGAGCCGCGGAGAACCTAACGGATTACCGGGGCTCCGGTTCGAAGTGCGTGAGTAGGAACGGGGTGGTTTTTAGTCAGTAAGAGTCTGACACTCCCTCCCGCCTCACCCAGAGGGGAGAAGTCATTCACACTTAAAAAAAAGCCTAATTTTATTTC